GAATCATAACAACATCCAAGTGTTTTACTTTTCTCTCAATCTTAAAAGCAGCTTTCCCATCAATTCTATTTCGTCTTCAATTTTCATATTTCTTGTTAAATCTTTTAACAAAATCAAAATCCATTAATATTTCTATTCCTTCCAAATTACCACCAAGTGCTCAGCAAATGCCCTTAGTTTATCTATTTCTCTTGTCATCTTCACTCTAGCAATTCTCTCATCCTGTCTTATATCTCTATTCAATACTTCAAGGGCTAGAATCAGGCGTTCACGAACTTAAAAAAATAAAAATGAATTCAGCTTTTTTATGATGTCAGTGGGGACTATTCTTCTTCAATGTTTATTCTTCCTTTTGCTGGGTTTTCCTACTTGCTAACATGAGCAGAGAGGTTCCCTTTAATTCAACCCTACATTGATATGGCTTTTCTAATTCCTATCTCCATGTTTATATTTCCTGCTCGTAGAATAACAAAAGAAGGGAATTCATTAAACGACCCACTTCCTGGTGGATAAAAATTTTCACACCCAGCAATTTCAAACCCCGCCACCTGGGGTAAAAGAGGAAGAAAAGGGGAACAAAATTGCTATTTTAAAAAAATATTCAATGGAGACTTTACAGCATGGACATTGTGCATGTGGCCTTTCTGGTGCAAGGTAGACCCTCCCTGGCTGGAATTTTTGTCCTTTTCCTTAAGCATCTTGATCTTTCTCTGGTTCTTCAACACGGACAAACTCTTCCTCACTTTCTATTTCTTTTAGAGCAAGGCTGATCAATGCTACATCTTAGCTTCTGTCTGCTGTGCTGTAGGATTTTTATTATTTACTGGATTTGCTAAAGCTGCCCAACTCCAAAAAGACTCTTGGTGTTTGAAAGATATTAGTCCAAATCGTTTCTCTTTCTGCAATTTTTCTGTGAAGCTCCTGAAAATATCCTTTATTTTTAACCAGACACATGACTTTCTTTTATACCATCTTGCCAGGCCTAAGAGACTCCCTTTAATTGTGTTTTTCTGAGCCTGGACTCAGGTAGGAGGCCACACCTGGACAGCCTCGGCTACTCTTGGAAAGCCCAGCAGTGTTACATGGGAGACCACCAGGAACTCTAAGATGATCTGGGAGGTAAATACATATCCAAGAGCACAGTGGGATCTCCCTTTCGTTTAGTTGCAATGCAATCAGAAGGCAACTTCCGTGACCTCTCTTTACCGTAGGAGCCTAAA